GCGATGGCGCGATCTCGGCTCACCGCAACCTCTGCCTCCTGGGTTCAGGCAATTCTCCTGCCTCAGCCTCCTGAGTAGCTGGGATTACAGGCACGCGCCACCATGCCCAGCTACAGAAGCTTTTTTTTTTTAAATTTAAGACAGAGTCTTGCTCTGTTGCCAAGGCTGGAGTGCAGTGGCATGATCACAGCTCACTGCAACCTGTGCCTCCTGGAATCAAGCGTTCCCTCCTCTTCAGACCCCTGAGTAGCTGGGACTACAGGTATGTACCACCATGCCAGCTAATTTTTGTATTTTTTTGTAGAGACAGGGTTTTGCTATGTTGCCCAGGCTGGTCTTGAACTCCTGGCTCAAGCCATCTGCCTACCTCAGCCTCCCAAAGTGCTGGGATTATAGATGTGAGCTACCGTACCTGGCCTTGGCAGAACACTTTGAGGATCAATTTGACAGTACTGTCAAATACATCCTTTCATTCAGAAATTCCAGTGCTAGGAATAATATTCCAATAAAAAAATAGAATGAGTTGTCCAAAGATACATATGCAGAGTGAAAAATTGGAAGCAACATAAATATACATTAAGGCTGGTTAGGCCAGGCACGGTGGATCACACCTGTAACCCCAGCACTTTGGGAGGCCGAGGTGGGCAGATCACTTGAGGCCAGGAGATCCAGACCAGCCAACATAGCAAAACCCTATCTCTACTAAAAATACAAAAAAATTAGATGGGTGTGGTGGTGTGAGCCTGTAGTCCCAGCTACTTGGGAGGCTGAAGCACAAAAATCACTTGAACCTCCCAGGAGGCAGAGGTTGCAGTGAGCCAAGATCACACTTGTGCACTCCAGCCTGGGTGATAGAATGGGACTTCATCTTAAAACAAAACAAAAAGTGAGGGAGGCCAGGCGCAGTGGCTCACGCCTGTAATCCCAACACTTTGGGAGGCCGTGGGTGGATCACAAGGTCAGGAGTTCAAGACCAGCCTAGCTAACATAGTGAAACCCCATCTCTACTAAAAATACAAAAAAAATTAGCCGGGTGTGGTGGTGGATGCCTGTAGCCCTAGCTACTTGGGAGGCAGAGGCAGGGGCAGGAGAATCTCTTGAACCCGGGAGGCAGAGGTTGTAGTGAGCTGAGATTGCGCCATTGCACTGAAGTCTGGGCAACGCAGCGAGATTCTGTCTCAAAAAAAAAGACCAGTGAGGGAGGTTGTGCATTCCTTTCCAAGGCATCTGTGAGCCTGCAGAGCAGACACCATGAGCAAAGCTCACCCTCCTGAGTTGAAAAAATGTATGGACAAGAAATTATCATTGAAATTAAATGGTGGCAGACATGTCCAAGGAATATTGCAGGGATATGATCCATTTATGAATCTTGTGATAGATGAATGTGTGGAGATGGCAACTAGCGGGCAACAGAACAATACTGGAATGGTGGTAATACGAGGAAATAGTATCATCATGTTAGAAGCCTTGGAACAAGCATGAATAATGGCTGTTCAGCAGAGAAACCCATGTCCTCTCTCCATAGGGCCTGTTTTAATGTGATGTAAAAATTAGGTCATGTACATTTCACATTAGACATTTTGTTAAATAAACTTTAATAATTGTAAAAAAAAAAAAAACGGGACTGGTTAAATAAATTATGACAGATCCATATAAAATATGACTCTTCTGTATCTTCTGATATGAGAATATTAAGTGAAAATACTAAGCCACAAAATTGTGTATTGTGTAAATAAAAAATATTCATTTTAAAGGTCTGAAATGCTATCTGCCAGTGATAGTAGTGTTTTTTAAAATTGTAATAAGAAGGCCGGGTGTGGTGACTCACACCTATAATCTCAGCAATTTGGGAGGTCTGTTTGTATCATCTGAGGTCAGGAATTCCAGACCAGCTTGGCCAACATGGTGAAACACCATCTTTACAAAAATGTAAGAATTAGCCAGGCATGATGGCGGGTGCCTGTAATCCCAACTACTCAGGAGGCTGAGGCGGGAGAATCGCTTGAACTGGGGATGTGGAGGTTGCAGTGAGCAGAGATTGCACCACTGTATTCCAGCCTGGGCAAAAGAGCAAGACTCTGTCTCAAAAAAATAAATACATAAATAGCTGGGCACAGTGGTTCATGCCAGTAGTTCCAGCACTTTGGGAGGCCAAGGTGGGCAGATCATAAGGTCAGGAGTTCGAGACCAGCCTGACCAACAAGGTGAACCCTTGTCTCTAATAAAAATACAAAAAAATTAGCTGGGCATGGTGGCGTGTGCCTGTAATCCCAGCTACTCAGGAAGCTGAGGCAGGAGAAACACTTGAACCCAGGAGGCAGAGGTTACAGTGAGCCAAGATTGTGCCACTGCATTCCAGCCTAGGCTACAGAGCAAGACTCAGTCTCAAAAATGTATGTAGGGTCTAGCCCTACTAGGGTCACGGGGTGTCCCCTATCGCTGTACCGAAGAGCTGAATCTGAGAAATAAGGAGACGACACCAAAGGACTGGATAAGAGCAGCTGGGCTGGGGGGCCAATGCCACTTGCAAGTGGAGACAGGCAAGGCCCCAAGCTTCCAGGAGTGTCTGTATTTATTAGGTATAGGTTGGGGGCTAAAGGTAGTAAGTAAGGTCATCTTAAGGACAGTGATAGGGTCAAGACAATCACATGAACGATAAGCAAGGGATCCACCCCCATTAGGTCACCAAGGCAAGGAGGTAGACAGTGTGCAACATCTCTTATCTAGGGGCAGCCTACTTCTAAGAATTTCTATAAGAGGATGCTCTGAGTCAGCACAGTAGCAACAGAGTGGACAAGGTATACAGCCACCTGGGCACGATTATACCAGCGGGGTTTTAAGTCCTCGGACGTATGCAGGATTGCCAGCCTGAGACCAGCTTTCCACAAGAACTGGATGCAAGATACTACAACTCTCTTTCAGGAGGAGTGACTCTTGCTCCAAGCCTGCCATACAGCGGGTATCTTTACGATACCGAACACTGCTGCCTGGGCCAAAATGCCATGTAGCGCATGCCCTTTCAGGCAGGGGCACTACCACCTGGGCCATGATTCTTATCCTGGTGTGGCTGTTTTCCCTAGTTTTCACATGCTCTGCAATGTGTCTGGTCTAGACATTCATCTGACTACAAACTAAGATATGATTATCTATGAAAAGATTATATATGGCTGGGCGCGGTGGCTCAAGCCTGTAATCCCAGCACTTTGGGAGGCCGAGGCGGGTGGATCACGAGGTCAAGAGATCGAGACCATCCTGGTCAACACGGTG